CCCCTTAAAAACCAAAATCACCCTCTTTCCTCCAACCCCAACCAACCAGCTCCCCCTCCCCAGCTACCTGTGCAAATACCTATCTTTCTTGTAACAGCAGTTTTCTGCTGTGGATGGTCTGACTGGTTATGCTAGTATAAACAATGACATAGTTCTCCCTTTATTATTGTTTTCGAACTCATGCTCACAGACCAGTTGGTTTAAGATGCTATTACCACCCCTAGTAGAAATGCCAAGAAGGAACCACGAATGGTAGTTCACTGTACATACCTGAGTGCAAACCTGCCTCTGTTGATGATGTGAGCTGAAATGTAAAACACAGGGGTACATGAAATAAGTGGGAATGGTGCAGTGTGTTAGACTTCTGCAACAAGATTTATTAGAGCTGCTCTATGGATTCCTAAATTATGTCTGCACAAGGTGTCTTTACACTGATGAGATACCTGCTGTCACGTTAATTACTTTCTGCTGGTATGTTTTTCAGTTAAACTATTGCCCAAGCTTACGGCATTTACATCGGTATACCATTCTGTGTGTTCAGTGGATCAAATTTCTTAACACTTAAATTGGTATTTGGTTCTGTGGAGAAGAGTTTGCTGAACTTTGACTATGTGTTTTTGTCTTTTTAAGCAGAGCTGCAGCATAAACTGGTTGTAGCAGTAGTTTGACTACTTTTGAAAGTGCATGATCAAGATGGAATCTCTGCAGATGTCACAGTAGTGAAGTGTGATCATGTGTATGATTAAAATACCTTTCCGCCACCTTCTCTTTTTCAGCTTTCTGAAACAAAAGTCTTCACTGCTTCCTCTGTTCCAGCTGAAAATCATGTGACTCCTGGTCAAAGGTAAGCTCTTCTTCCATGTTTTCCTTATACCTTAAACCCTTCTGCTTGGTGAAGCAATGTTCGCTTGCATGTATAAAATATTGAATAAAATACAGGGCAGCCGTAGTCAAAGATTGGTCAAGCTAGTTTCAAAATCGTGAAAGCCTTGCTTACAAATCACCAGTTTTGTGGGTTCCTGTGTTATCTGTTACTGACTAGGGAAGATGAGCCGAACTTAGCAAATCCACAAGCATAATTCCGAGAAGACCTGTTGTTTTCACAAAGACTGCTCACAGGCAGGAACAAAAGTAGCTGGGAAGAAAAAGGTTTCTGCTGTTGAAAAGGAAGCTCTGTCTTTGCTGTCCATAAGATGGAAAACCTGCCCTTGTAGATGCAGAAAGTGTTCAGAACATAGTGCTTTGACAAGTGTGTTAACAGAAAAGCTTGTGTTGGCAAGAAGGTGAATTTCCTGGTAAACATCACAATTACTTGCCTTAACTGATGATACAGAGTTCAGACAGAGAACCAAAAATATGGCAGTTGCTGTCTTACTTTGTTTGCCTTTCACCAAATGCCTGGCTGGTGATGTTATGGAATCAGTTGCCTGCATTAGCATCGGGTCCCAGGAGACCAGCTTGAAGTTGTGTGATGAAGATGTTGGTAGTTGGACAGCATGAGATCTGAAAACTAGGAGGCTTGATGGTCACAAACAGACTGCAGTGAAATTTTACTTATAACACGGACTTGATCTAAAGGAGGCATGGTGTCAGTTGGTCTACAGTTTATATTCCTTTCTGTCTTAAAGGTGATATGCTGACATGTTCATTGTCCTAATGCAAATATTTTTCCAGTGTATGCCCCTCACATTACATTAGAAAGTATCGTAGTTCATCAACTCAAATTCTGGTGTTTTGTTGTTTTTTTCTTTGTCGGGTTTTTTTTTTCTTTTTCCTCCCTTTGCCGTAAGAAAGATTTGGGCATTAAGAAAACTGTGCTAGTGAAAGTGCTGGAAACGGCTCTTCAGCACAAGCCTGCAGAATATTTAGGATAAACTTAAGTCAGAATTTTAGGAGCAGATTCTTTTATCGTCTGAAACCTTTGCTTTTCCTTGGATAAACCTGTGCTAAACGTGAGGTAGGGGTTAGTAAGCCATGGTAAATATATGGTAGGCGTTAGTAAGCTGTGCTAAATCTAAGAAAATCCATGTTTCTCATCCTGCTCAGGTAAGTGTGGTAGAGTAATTTTGGATATGTGCCTGCTATCTGAGAAACTTAGCTTTTATTTCTGCTGCTCTTGTGACTTCTATGTCATCACATACTCACTCAGTGTTACTTATGTGTTACTTATTCTTTACTGTCCTCATACCCACCCTGTACAGAGGTAGGACTTTGATCCTTTGCTCTTTTTAAAAGGATAGTGTGATATACAGAGAATGTGTATTATCAATATATATAATGGGCTTGGACGCAGGATCCACTTAAACATAATATATCTTTTATGACTTGTGTCTGGTTACTTGGCTATATTAGTCATATAGGTTATTTATGCAATACATGATGTTATAAATTTGATAATGTTTGAAAAGAGTGCAAAGATAATTTATATTCTAACTGTAGCAGAAGGTTTCAGCCAGCAAAACCCTCTATTCTACCTCTTATTTTATGGCAGACAAGCAATATTTGAAAAGACTGTTAATCACTAATAATTCTGTTGCTGGTGTGGCAGCTGTAGTATTGTTAGTGCTTTCTTCAATTTCAGCGCAGCCTAATCATCATCTTTATTCCAGCCAAACTTTACTTTTTCTTACAGCATTGATTTGGTAGCACTGCTTCAAAAGCCTGTGACTTCTACCCAAGAGGCAGACGGCAACTCATTTGAGGCTCCTCAGCAGCAGACTTTTGGCCAAGCCCTAGTCTTCACAAATTCTCAGCACAGCACCCAGATGGCATCAGGAAGTGGCAGCTCCAGTGCTGTAAACTCTTATTCTCCTCAAAGTCTGGTAAAATTATCTTATGCTTTCTAAATATTAATGAGTAAATATTTCAGGTTAAACAACTTCTCCAGTACTGGTCATTTCATGAGATCATAGAATCACAGAATCATTTAGGTTGGGAAGACCTTTAAGATCATCAAGTCCAACTGCTAACCTAACCCTGCCATCCCACCACTAAACCATGTCCCTAAGCACCCAGTCTACCCATTTTTTAAATTCCTCCGGGGATGGGGATGTTTCAGTGTTTGTAAAATTCAGGTCGCAAATATTGAATGTTTTTTTGTGCATGTTCCATTCACACGCACAAAAAAAAAAACCCTACTTTTTTCTGGTTTTGCTAAGTAGTTGTTTCTCGGTTTACATGAAGTACTTGTATTAATTTTTGAGTAGAGAGCAGATGCATTTACTGCATGCTGATTTAGAATTAAATAATTTGTTATGAAGTGCTGAAGAGTTCTATGCCAGAAAACTATGCTGTGTTATTTCCAAGTATGTATCTGACTGCTTTTTGTGGAAACCTGCCTATTTCTGTGTCAATTGTGAGGGCTTGACATTGGGCACTTACATTTATTCTCTGGAAATCAGGTCAACTATTAGTAAATATATGCTATTTTGAGATGCATGGATTCAAGTAAATTGGTATTGTTGCAGTAACAGTGACAGTGAAGTTGTACCAGTGATAATCAGAGAGGATCTGGCCATATGCTACAACTTCTGAATTTTTTATAGTTCATTTGTTGGTAATCTAGAGCTGAAGAGGTTTTAGTTGCTGCCAGATAACAGCTGTAGGCATTGACCCTATGGTTATGCTCAAATTATTTATTAAATACTGAACAATCCTTCCCCTCTTCTTCTTTGTCTTTTGGTAGTCTGCAGTTCTTTGTTCTGGCTTTGGAGAACTTGGATCCTCTAAATTGGCAAACTCAACTGGATCCCAAATTTTGGACCAGTTGAAATCTCCAGGATTGGGTCAGTTTACCTCTCAACAAAACAATAGTAGCTCTACCGCCACTACCACAACTACCACATCATCCTGGGATCTAAAACCACCCATTACTCAGTCCTCAGTCCTTAGTCAGTTCGGTAAGTGCTTTGACATAGCTTTCTCTCTTTATCTGTTAGCCCCTAAGATTTTGAAAGACTCTTTCTAAAAAGTGCAAACCTAATAATGCAGTTGGTTACAACATTGTAAGAGTTACACTTACTTGCTGGTAGTAGACATTATGAGTATATCACAAACTAAGTTTTGATAGGCTTAATCCTATCTGTAAATGTCATTGCATTTTCAGAAGTTGTTGAGCCTTCATGTAATGACATCTTTGATTTAATGTGGTTGAATATTCAAGTGGAACTTTGATGTGACTTTGTTTCTCAACAAATCCTGGAAAATACTTACTTGCATTGTGCCTATGCTGCCTTTAGCTGAGTGTAAGGTTGTACCCTATTTTTTCATTTTTTCCCCCAAATTTTTGTCTTCTAACCATTACATGATTTTTGAATGAGTACTAATAATATCTTCATAATGTGCATCACGCCTTAGTGTTCTTTCCCTAGCATGCTGAGAATGATGCAGGTTACGCATTTGGTCTATTCATAGTTGTATGGATTTTTCATTTAATTGAGTAGAATTAGTAGAAATAGTGAAAATGACACAAACTTGTTTTTTGCAATGTAGTTCCTAGCAGCATTCTCACTGTGAAGAGTGATAGCTCTTATATCTATTCATGTATGTGTGTATGTTTCCAGATAGATAAGCAGCCAGTTTGGTAGCAGTTACGATTTTTAACGCGCAGCAATTCTGAAAAAAATGTTTATGCACATTTTAAGTTGCTTTCTAACGCACTTTACCAAGTGAATAAAAAAACCTTCATGTTGCCAGTGCTGTGGATCTCCTCCAGTTGTTGAGCCACTGCATGGCTTTCAACGTCTGAAAAATGGGAAAGGGAAAGAATTGGAAAAAAACTGTCAGTGTGCAGCTTCTCTTGACTTCCAGCCAGTTTGAGGTTGTAAATGACTTCCTATTTCTGTTGAAAATCTTCTCCTTTCTAGAGGCAGGAAATCTGAACTCATAATACCTCTAAATTGCAACTCCAGACCCCTTGGAAGTAATCACATTTTATCAGTATAGTTAATTGCAGTGAAACTTGCAGTGTTTGATTTAAAATAAACTGTAACAGTTTTTGAGGACTAATGTGTGATAATATTATGTGACTGTATAGATAGGTTTGTTTTCATGTTTTTGAAGAAAGCTAAGTAGTGCTTTCCAACAGCTGTTTATTTAAAGTAGAGAATATAAAATTTTGGCCTTATTACTGCAGTGGTAATGTTCAATGTGAAACTTGTGTGACGTCTGAAAGAGGCTTGCACATGCTATAAAATCATAGCTGTTGAGCATGTCAAGCCACCCAGATTCTTTCATAAAGTGTAGAAGCATGAAGAGCAGAGTTTAGTGCTTTAATTTTGATATTTCTTTTTTCCACCATTGACCAGACTTTAAATCTCAGCCTGAACCATCCCCAGTTCTGAGCCAGCTGACCCAGCGACAGCAACAACAATCACAGGCAGTTCCTGTTCCTCCTCCTGGGCTGGAATCCTTCTCCTCCCAGGTAAAGCTCCGAGAGCCATCGCCAGTAGACACCTCTACAGCTGTTAGCAAAATGTTACAGCTCCCCACTTTATCGATGGATAACCAGGCAGTGACTGCTCATCAAACCCAGCAGAAACAGATAAAACCACCAAAACGGAGGATAACTCCAGCATCTAAGGTGGGTAATTGAGTGGTGGCTTATCCTTAGTCAATGTAAAAACATAGAAAAAAACCTTGTGTCAGGAATAGTGTGGCCATCAGGACCAGGGCGGTGATTGTCCCCCCGCACTCAGTGCTGGTGTGGCTGCCCCTTGAATTTTGGGTTCAGTTTTGGGCCCCTCACTCCAAGAAGGACATTGAGGGGCTGGAGCATGTCCAGAGAAGGGCAAGGAAGCTGGTGAGGGGTCTGGAGCCCAAGGCTGCTGGGGAGCGGCTGAGGCAGCTGGGGGTATTCAGCCTGGAGAAGAGGAGACTGAGGGGAGACCTTATGGCTCCCTACAACTGCCTGAGAGGAGGGGAGAGCCAGGTGTGGTTTGGTCTCTTCTGCCAAGTAACAAGGGATAAGATGGGATGAAATGGCCTCAAGTTGCACCAGGGCAGGTTTAGGTTGGACATAAGGAAAATTTCTTCTCTGAAAGGGTTATCAAGCATTGGACCAGGCTGCTCAGGGAAGTGGTGGAGTCCCCATCCCTGGTGGTATTTTAAAAGACAGGCAGATGAGGTGCTTAGGGACATGTTTTAGTGGAGAGATGACAGGGTTAGGTCAACGGTTGGACTTGATGATCTGAAAGCTTTTTTCCAACCTAAATCGTTCTATGTATGAGTTGCTAGGGAGAAGGAGAGCAAAGACCATAGTACATTTCTTGCTTATAAAGCAGGAAATTCTAAGCTGGATAGTTTTTAGGTCCAAAATACAGCGATGTTGTCTTTTCCAATCACATTATCTGATTGCTCTGTGTGGAAAATGACTTGCTGAGTGATTTTTGGATTGACTTAGTAGCCACAAGATGAATGTTGGCTGAAGGAGGATGGACAAGGATGACACTTCAGTATTGTAGAATAATATGGCTTACTCTTTCAACTCCAGATCAGGGCACAGAATCAATGAATTAATTTTAAGTTACAAGTATGTAGTTAGTTTACGTGATGTAAACTGGGTAGGGTTGTTGGAGATCTAGCTAGCAGTGAATGCTGGGGCAGTAACTGAAGAAGCATGTAGTTAACGGAGGAAAGGGTGTCTGTTACTGGTATCTTTTATACAGATAGTGCATGCAAAAGGATTATGATTTTTTTTTTTCCTCCTTTAAGATTCCTGCCTCTGCAGTGGAGATGCCTGGATCAGCGGATGTTACAGGGTTAAATGTTCAGTTTGGAGCTCTGGAGTTTGGATCAGAGCCTGCACTCCCAGAGTTTGGATCAACTTCAAGCAGTGAGAATACCAGCCAGGCGACCAACAATAGCTTGTACTCAAAATCTGTAAAGTACGTGTGAGTTCCCTTGTGCATTTTTAGATGTCTTCTTTAGGGGGTCACATTTGTGCCAAAAACATCAAGGCACAGTTACCGTGTAACGGGAGGGGAAAATACGATGACTTGTAAGGCTGTGTTTTCTGTGGATGGCATCTTAAAGGAGAAATTTCTTTTTTAATGACAATAAAAATGGCCCTGGATGGGTTGATGTGAAGCTGGAGATGACATGAATATAAATAACCTTATAATAAGCTGCCCTCTATGGAATTGCTTTCCTGTGTTCAGTTGCCCTGAGTTTCAAATTTGTTTGAGGGTTTGTTCCTCACAACCCACATTTTTCTGCTTTTGATCCAGGAGAGATGACCCTTTTACCATGTATGTGTGTTAGTAAATTGTCACCAGATTACAGATGTGATCCTCCTATGGGATAAGAAAAGAAGCCAGGCTTTCACTATGCAGAAGCTCTTACCGCAATGCTAAAATAGCCAATGAAAAATGCCAGCGTACCAGTAGCCCATTTTTTCCTTCCTTATTCATTCAAAAATTGGCTTCAGTAAAAACCATCCTGAAGTTAATTCAGAAATATTAGTAAAAATGAACTTTCACATTATTTTCTAGTTCTATAAATGACTGAAGCTGTTTAGAAAGTAAAACACTTCTGCATGTTTTAACGTATTTTTTTCCTCTTTGCATAGTTTATTCTGTTAGACTGCTACTGTAACGTTAGAATTCTATTGTAAAAAGAGACTGGGTGTTTCTCATTGTATACCAGACTTTATAGATCTGGTTGTTTAAAGAAGAGACATTATGATCCTTAGTTTATCCTCTGAGAGGGTGGAAGTAACATCATTGAAAAGTGCTTGTGTGTAAACTCTGGCTTGGTTGGGCTGGCAGGAAGAAGCTTAGTGTAGCTGATGGTTTTGAAGCAGTGATTTCTGCAGACCAAAGCAAATTTTTTTTTTTCATTATTAGAATTTTCTAGTATAAATAATGTAGATTTGACTGCATGTTTACGGTAGTTCTAAATAACTGTGTACGAGCTGGTATTTTCATGAAGGTGTTAGAGATGTCATTTACCAAGATGATAAATAATTTTTACTTTTTCCAGTGATCCTTTGAATACCTCTTTGCCAATATCCAATACAGTACAGGAGTCCACCTACACAACCTCTGCCGTCTCCTCTTCCAGTCTGACCTGCTCATCCCAGAGCACTAGCCCAGTAACAACAACTTCCTCCTATGACCAGACTTCTGTGCATAGTAGGATAGCGTACCAAAGCTCCATGACTCCGTCTGAATCAACCCCTGTTGCAGTTACGGTGAGTGAATTTCAGAAATAAGACCTTGCAAAAGGTGAAGTATTCTTATCAGTGTTAGACTTGTATTACCTTGCTATGTTAATACTTTTAACCAAGCCAAGTGATATTTTTGGTTCCCAATCCCACCCTGTTGTTTGTTTTTGTTTTTCCTGTTGTGTAGCCATTTTTAACCATACTATATTTAGGATATAAAAGCCTCTGATTTATTGGATTTTGACATCCTAAATTGCTGTTTGACATTTTTTCTTGTAACACTTAATGTTCTACTTGGGCTTCCTTCCCTGAAGCTTAGCTTTTAAAAAAAGAATTATATCTGTATGTAAATGTTAGTCATGGTATTTTGCCATAACTTGACAGAGTTTATCCGAAGGTATATTATTTATTAAATTTATTTGACACCTAGCAAATGGATCCCAAACTTTTTGTGGCCCCACCAGCATTACTCTTTTGTTGGATTTAAACACCAGTGGGAATGAGTTTCATGTTTTATTTTAAAAAGCGTAAGGAGAGGTCTAATCTAGGACAGAGAGGACCTCTCATTGGAGGTTCAAAAGCACCTACTCTCTTTGTATATGGAATGTAGGTTTGTTTTAAGAGAACTTAATTTATTAAATGTTTAAGGAACTTGTGAGAGTTTGTAAGTTTATTTACTTCTGGCCTGTGTTATGTAATGGCTCAGTCACACTTGTCTTCTGCACTAGCTCGTATGTACTGGTGAGGATCAAGCATAGACTATCCACTTCTGTACTCCAGCGTTATCAAAAAACCAACTGGTGCTTCTCAAGTCTTATCTTTCAATGGAAAAAAATTGGCGTCTCTGTGTAACTTGGATAGTTAAAATTGTGAGTTGCATTAGATCAAAAGCACAACCATTTCCTTTATGTAAATGCAATTCTTTCTTTCATATTGGTGTGAACCTGAAGTTTATGTTATATACAGTACATGGGAAGGTCTCCTGCTGATGGGTGTAGTATGGGCCGTGTATGGGATTCTGTATGCTCAGGACACCTTGCACTTGAGACAACTATTACATGGTTTTGTTAAAGGCAGTAAAAAGATAATTTTCTGTCTTTTTTGTCTTTCAATTTAGAATAAGTATAGAATTTTGCATGAAGCATGTTCGATGTGTGATTCAGTCTGAAAATTTAATACACCTCTAAGATGATTTATTCATTAATTTCTCCTTTGTTTACAGAACGGGCACAGTGGTGTTAGAACACAGGCAACTCTTGACAGTAAGTTTACAAAGCTTGGCTGTACACAGGACTTTCTGATCTTTCCTTACTATTTGCTGTGCGCACAACTGTAGCAGTGTCAGCTGGTAAAGGTTCTGTATTGTTCTCCCTGACTAATTTTTGGCTGACCCATTTGAGTTTATTTTGTACTTGCATAGGATACACTGCGTGCTTCTTGACTAAAACTGAAGTATGAAAGCAGCCCTATTAAATCTGCAAACCTAAGCGGTCTTAGAGTTAGAGAAGCTGCTTTGCTGCTGCTTTTCCTTTTCAATTTACCTGCCAAAAATTATTTAATATAAAATGAAAATAAAATATAAAATGAAAAATTAAGATAAAATTTATTAGCAATTCTCAGTTGGGAAGGTGTGAGAAGCATTTAACTGTAATGAAACAAAGTCAAATTCTTTAAATGTACCTCTCACTGGGTATAGTGCTACTTATTAATGTCTTTTGGAATTCCAACACTGCAGTTTTAGGTCTATCCTCCTCTTAAACATCTCTTCAGGTAGGTCATTAGTGGGGCAGCCTTTTTTTTTTTTGTGTACTTCTGAGTTGAAGGAAGTTGAGTGTTCAGACCTGTAGGCAGTGTTTTGTTAGTGCCAGGTTCAATTTAAATGAGCAGGAGAGTGTACGCCCAAAGAGTTACCACGTAAAAGACTTCTATATGAAGACAACTTTTCAAGTGGAAAGTTGATATGTGAATATCTTCATATATATGTATTACTCTCATGGACAGAATTAATAAAAAATTTATGAAACTCACTGTAGGACTTGTCTTTTTGTTATGGAAAACAGAGATCTGAGAATTCCTAGTATTTTTGTAATTATTCTATAATAGCTTTATTAGTCCCTTTTTCTAGGCCAGTTCTCTTTTGAGAATGCTTTTTTTTTTTCTGTATCTCAAGTACATAAACTGGAATCAGTCGTCTTCCATGCATCTTCTATTTCATGCATCCAATTTTGAAATTCTCTCTTAACTTTTGGAGTACTGACCTTTTCCCTTCTGTATGTGCTGATAATATTCTTAGTTGTTCATCTCTCATCTTTGCTGTTGTTGTTCTTTAATATCCAGATCTGAGCCTTCCTAAACCATTAGTTCAAACAATGACTGATGTGTTACAATTCTGACCATCCTACTTCTCTCTTGGTTTTTGTTGTCTTGCACATTGTGTTCAGGCATCTTGTAAGGGGTCTTGATGAAGATGGTGATCCTGTCCCTTGTATTGAGGACATCTACTTTTACTTCAGGAAGGGAACCCTGCTCTAAATGTACTGAGAATTGTAAATGTTATTTACCTATTTTTATATGCATCTTGCCAAGAGGTATCAGGTGATATAGTTGCCACCTTCATAACTATGTTTCTGCTTGTCACTTGAATTTCCTTCTCTGTTGTCAGTTACCCTCATGCTTATTGCCAAGGCCAGTATCTCTTTGATTTCTGTTTGCATAGCACCCGATCCAGCAACCTGACTTGGATCATTTAGTGAGGAAACCAAATCAATAACATGAACAAACTGTGATGTGTAACTTTCAAGCGTGTATCTGACTTTTGTTTAGTGATGATTCTAAAACTGCCTTCACATGTATTGCAAGTTAGTGGTGATCCACTGGGTAGTGGACTCTGGTGTGGTATGGAGCATGGGCCAGCAGAAAGCAGGGCTCAACTCTCTTGAGTTTTGTTGATGCGTGAGTGCCTCTAATTCTTTATATTATCTTTGCAGGACAAGAGATCAGTATAGAAACAGCTGGGAATTATGTTGAGCAGTAGTTGTTCAGTGTCTTATTACAGTATAGTGATCCTTTGGAAAGGCACATATATGGTTATCAAGTTTTACTCTGTGTAGCCTAAAAAGTAATATTTAAGCTAAACATTTTTTGTTTTCTAGGTCAAATAAAGTGAGTCAATATTTGACAACTCTTTAGCCATTAAAAATGCTTAATGCTGTGCTCAGTTGTGGCCTTTTATTGTAGCTTGTTTTAGTCTACTACTGCATTACACATTTGAGTGAGTACTCCAAACTGATAAGTTATATATGTTCCCTTGTACTTCAGCGATCTCATTCTCAATCATCAAAGGTGGTGTGTAGATTAGAATGAAGAAGCAGAGCTGTAGGTAAAAGTAGATTTGTACAGTGCCTTGAAAAGTGCAACTGTTTGTGACCTTTGTTTGTGGAACCAAATACAAGCAGTTTTAAAATGAAGATTGACTTGTGAGCAAAAGCCAGTAATCCACATAGGAGAAGGTGAAGTGCAGAAGACTGTAGTTTACTACACGTGTAGCAGTGAAAACTAAATCTGTTTTAGGTGAAGAGCTTAAAGGGAAAAAAATTACAGTTCTGTTGCTCTTTGAATTTTCCTTAATAGCCAGATTGCTTGATACTGTTACTGGCTCTTAATGGTCAGGTTTTTGTAAACCAAGGGGAGAATACTACTGTGTTCCTTAATCAAGGCTGGGATGTCAGGTGTGCTGGAATTTGTCTTTGAATGCCTCTTTTTAACTTGTTGCAGCTACTTCATCAGTTCCAGCGCCTAAGACAGAGCCTTCTCCCTCACTACCTTCTGCTGGTTCTCTGCCTAGCGTGGTATCCACCACTGCTTCGCTTCTGCCTTCAGCATCGCAGCACACGGCAACGTTGCCCAGCTTGCCTCAGTCCAGTGATTTGGCCAGCAGCTCACTTTCCCAGTTAAGCAGGTACAGTAGGAGTTGTGATCAACTGAAAGGGGTTCAATTTTGGGGAAAGGGCAAACATAAGGGTGTTTGCATACAGGGGCTGTCAGACACCAGGGTCCCCTTTTCTGACATTAACTAGAATTAGGAGAGAGATTCAGAAGAGAACAGGATGTTTCTGATTGCAGAGCAGGAGCTCTGGGCTGCATTATAATGACAGAGCAGCTTTTGCCCGCAAGTTTTCATGATATATAAACAACTTCGTGTTTCAAGGGGCTCTTGCTTCAATCATGCCAGCTAAATAAGCTAAATTGATTCCCCCAGTTTGTTTTTCCTACTTTATCCGCAGTTTACTTCCTGGCTAATTTTGAAATATTGTAGTTTAATTTATATTTGTATTTCTTAATATTAAAACCCAGAAATAATTCCACAGGGAAGGTGTGTGGTTTTTCTTTTTCTAACACATTTCCTTAAGACACTTTGAAATGCCAGATTGGTGTTCCTGGAAGTGCATTCAGCACAGCTTGGCTCATTTCTACTCTGTCTGATTTTCTCAGTGCCTGTACTTGAGCTTCATCCTCAGACAAATGACATCCTGAAGCTATACTGGTTGAGTTACATTTTTAATGCTCACCTTTGTACTGTTTTTGTTAATGTAAGAAACTAATTTGATGGGATATCGGGATTTTTTTTTCCTGTTTCACAGCTAGGACATGTTTTATTCTCTTTAAATACACTAGTATTTTCTGTTGAATGAAATGGTAAATATGTCAAATAACAAGAATCACTCCATTAACTTTAGAAACATCATCTCCCCACATCTGTTTGTTTGTTGAAAAGCTGTGTACGTTGGTAGAAATTTTAGTTGGAGAGTTGATGCTGTTGGGCAGATACCAAGTGCTATCAAACGATGATGTCTGAATTCCAAGCATGTCTGACTTGGTTGTGCTGGCAGCTTGTCTCTGTGTCTACCATAGGTCAGATGGTGAATTAAGATGCATTAGAAGAGCTGGGGAGAGTGGGTGAGGGAGTGGTTTAAAACTGTATGTTGGACTGCACTACTTCTTTCCTTGCTGGCTGAAGTAGTGTCATTGTAATTCCTGCAGATGGGGAACAGTTTCAAAGAACCAAAGTGAAATTAATCTATGAAACTGCCAAGATTTATTCTGGGCCCACACCTCGAAGAGCTGCCAGAATTGTTTGCCCTTAAATTAGGACATGTAATTTAGTTTGCAGCTTTGTTTTGAAAACTGGTGTATTTTCTTGTGGCTATTTCCGTAGACAATACTAAAGTATTTGTTATGGTTAGGATCTGTCTTTCTTCTGATTTCACAAGAGGAGGAGCTTTTTGAGCACCAAACCATACATATTTTTTTTATGGCTTTGTTTTCTTTGCCTTTGTTCAGCATTCATTCTGTTTATTCCATACTGTACTATAAGTTATGTTCTTGACCTTGAATGTAAGGTATAACTTTTGTCAGTGTAAATGTTTAAGAAGCGGTTTCAGTCACATTTCAGGGAGACATTAAAAAGTCTTTGAATTAAAGATGAATGTTGGTGCTTCTGTTACTGCCAAAAGTTCACAGGCCTGTCAGCTAGTGGAAAAAGGTGGTGCTAAAGCAGAGTTGCTTCCTAAAATGAAGTTATCTGCAGATGTTTTTCAGCAGGGGATTCTTTATTTTCATGTTTTACAGTGTATATATAAAACTGAACTGGTAGTTCTGATTGGTCTTTTCAAGGAGGAAGTGGCTTTTGGTGGCGTGTAGTGGTATCGACTGGCCTTGATTAAATTGCCAGATTCTGTTGTATGGCTGATTTTTTGGCTTTCACAGATGCTCTTTGTTTGCTGGGTTTTTTTGAGCCATGTCTTTTGGGAGTGTGTTGGCGCTTTTGGCAGCTAGGGGGCAAATACTCCGCAGTTCTAACTGGTTGAACTAATGTTATGCAGGTTAAGATGTGAGAAATACCATAGTGAGTTAAACCAAAGCACTGCCTCACCTAATTAATACCTGTGCCCCTGGCAGGCATCAGCCATTGCTCAGGGAGAGAATGAGAAACAAGCCACGTGTTGCGTTAACTTTCTCTGGTTTTGGACTTTTTGTCTGGGAGTCATTGCTACATAATTTCTGAAGTAACTGCTGTTTTTCTCAAGATATAGTAAATTGGTAAATAGAAATTAATGGTGTTTTAGATGTTTCTTGTTAGTAATAGTTATGTCTGTGCTTCAATTTTTTTCATTAGAAGGTAGTAGGATATTAGTTAAAGAAAAAAATGCCTGCGGGGGTGTGTGGGCATATATGCACATGTACATATGCACTTGTGTGTGTATATGTACACACACCCCTATGGACAATTTTTTCTTTTATATCCTACTGTGTGTATGTGTATACACACACAATTTTTATTCTTTAACTAATATTCTGCTACCTACTCTGTGTTTGTATATATATGTGTGTGTATATATACATACGTATATATTAAAAATGGTTCTAGGAAAATTTAATTTCATTAATTCTTCGCAATTTCTTTCTAGCTCCCTTTCCAATCATCAGAGCAGCCTGTCCCCTGCCTCAGTGTTGTCTTCAAGCACATCACATGCAGTAAGTCCTATTTGTATTTCAACAGATGTTTGGCATATAGTCAGTTCATCTGATGATTAAGATTGTCTCTTAAAGTTCATTGTGTCCCAGTACACTACAACTAGAAACAAGAGCCTTATCTCAGGGAAGAAGGACTGCCAGCCCTCTAGTGGTAAAAAAAAGTCTTTACCACTAGAGATTTAGACTAGATCAGGAATAGCTATTAGAGAGACTTGCCAATGACACAACTGCAGCGGAAATTTTTCATGTTGGCAAGGGGGGATGGAATGAAGAAAGAAATTCTTGTAATAAATGTATTTTAAAAAAAAAAAATCATTTAGAAGTGGCTGTTGGAAACTGCTCCAAGATGTGGACTGTTAGCAGTCTCTGCTGGAGAGGTTAGCTGGCAAAATGCAGGTGATGGAATGATATATGTCATGACAAATGCCTCATGAAAAATGATTTTAGAGTTTACCATGTGGCATTGTTGTCACCCGCATATTTAATGCATTTGAGATAACAAGTCAAATGGTAGTGAACACAGTGCTCTAAGTGAGGTTGCACAAATGGAAGTCAGAGACGCTGCCTTCTTCTGTGATGAGGTACTTATGTACAGTCCCAGTTAGGGTGCACAGATAGGTTTCTGCTTTTCTTTATGCCTGTATTTTGGTTTGTAATGCTCCATCCCTGCTGAATATGTAACTTAAAAATTCACACTTATCCAAATGTCCTTTTCTGTTGTCAGAGTTGTTTTGGCTTCTGTGTGTTGATGATGTTTTGCAAGTGTGAGCAGCTTGCAGCTAAGGCACTGTATTGTGCTGGATTCAAACCAGGCACTCCTTTATCCTCTTGTGTTACTGTAATACATCCGGTTTGCATTTGAATTTACTACATTGACGCTGTTGTTGGGCACTACAGTTTTAATCTTCTAAATTCCACAAGTACATTGAGGAAATCGTGCTAGCAGTGTCCTGTCCTTTGGGAGAATATAGGAGTTTATTTAATGTAACAAGTGATATCTTAAAGGACAATACAAGAAAAGGCCAGAAATAATGTGATGCGGTGACATTTGAGTTACTGTGGTGTAATTTTGTGATGATATAGCGGTTTGAATTTAACTCTCATGTAATAATTTTCTTTGAATACTTAAAAATCACAAGCATGCAACTTAGTTGCTTGCTTGGTATGTAGATAATGCATATCTTTTGCATGTGCTGCTGTTACTTAAAATAATGTTGTGGTTTTGTTGGTTTTTTTTTATCCCCCTGCCCCCAGCATCTTCCACTGTGGTTTATTTGCTCTGTCATCCTCATTCTTTTTGTCTCCTTTCTAGCACACTAGTGTTGAGAACACAACTTCGCTCCAGCCCTCAACAACCTTTTCAACTGCTTCAACCTCAGCCACTAGCACCACCTCTTCGGTTGTCAGCATGGCAAGCAGTATGAACACTACAAACAGCCTTGGCCTGAGCGTTACCAGTGTGTCTATACCAGCTGCTACCACACGGGCAGCTCCCTTAGTGTCTTCAGGTTTGCAATATTAACAGATCATGTGGCTAGACAGAGGACTTCAGTCATCAAGGCTGTCGGTTGAGCATCCCACCAGCCATAATTATGCTAAGAAATCCACACTCTTGACTACCATTTTCAGCATGCTTTATTTGCTGAGTCATAAAATAAAGTTGCCTGGCTTTGTGACTTTGAAATATTTGTTAGGGTGTTATGTGGCATTTATATAGCACATTCCATCCCCAAGGAGCTTTATAAATAGACACCAGAGCAGTTCTGACTTTGGAAGTTTTGGGTAGGAGATTCGCCCAGTTTCTATTCCAGGTTGTGATCAGATCTTGGCTTTGAGTTAATATTAGCATTAATTTCAGTCTTCTCTGTGAGTTGAATTCATTTGGCAGTATCAAAATATGCTGCAATGCTCTCATCATCATAAGCCACAGCCTTACTGCCCCATCTACAGAAACGAAAAAAGTGTCTGATGTCTGGGTTATTCCACAGCAAACGGAACTTCAGAAAAGGGTCCACAGAGAGAGAAAGTGGGGAGGCTTCCACTGGAGTGGAAGCAATGCTAAATTCTCTCTTGCTTCTCTCATCAACCTGAGCTGCTAAAAGGAAGTCCTATGGAGGGAAGTGAATGATTTAAATATTAAGATCAAACTTACTTACAGAGGGATTTCTCATTTCCCATTCCCCATACCCTTCTGCTTCCTAGCACTACTTCATGGAGGCAACTGAAGCTGTTTAGTCTTCTCTTTACTATTCTCAGCTGCATTAAGTCACCCACAAAAACTACGCTGGCAACATTTAGTGTTTTCTAGTCTATTGCTGGTGATAGGGGGAAATTTATTGACAGAGCAGAAAACGAAAGGAGAGAATTTGCTCTCTTAGATTGAGAACAATGCCTAAATTCTGCCTTCAGGAAAGGACTGAGGAAAGGAGAAGTTTCTGTAATTCTTGTAATCCTTTTGGACAAAGTAAATGACAAAATCAGACTATTCTCTGATGGGACTGTTTTCAGTCTTAAGTAGCCTGTGCTTTCCCTTCCCTGAGGCATGGTTAAACTCTTCAAGCTATTTTGAGTATTTTCATCAACCAGCACAAAATTTTTCTGCGTATGCTCTTTACAAGCTATGACAGTGTAGCCACCAGGGCTTGTGAGCTATCTTGTCTCAATGCTGAATCCTTTCCTTTTCTAAAGACTTGTTAAAATGTTTGTATTTTGATTCTACAGGCAAAGCTCCCCCAAACCTGCCCCAAGGTGTACCACCCTTGTTGCATAACCAGTATATTGTGGGACCTGGAGGACTTCTGCCTGCCTACCCAGTAAGCAATTTAATTGTTCCTGTCCTTGATTGCCTTGGTGCAAGTGGGTCCTCCAGACCTGCTGCTGTCTATGCCACGGCATTTGTGTTGACACCTGTGACACCTGGAAGTCTTGTTCCAAATGCTGAAGAATATATGAAGTATGTGTAGTTGACTGTTGGTAGTAAACTCCAGAACTGTTGGTACATACCTGATTTGGCTGTTGATAAAGCTAGACATGCGTGTTGCTACAGTTTTCAGCAGTATCAGGTTTTAGGCCCATTGAGTAAAATCAGAGTAATTCAAGATTGTGTTACTGGAATAAATGTACTGTAGTAATGGTTGAAATATGCCACGTGACCTGTCTGTCATACTTGGAAAGATTGCATATAACTTTTTGAAGTCTGACCAGGATCAATATGGTTTTGGTTATCTGTTTTTTGAACCAGAAAACTTGATTCTAATCATCTTTCTGTACCACACTGAATGCAAGGGGATACTGTAGGTTGCTTTGTGGTCTAGTCATCAAATCTTAAATCCTGTTGCTCTTAATCCCAAATCTGAATGCGCCGTAGATTTTTCAAAAGTTGATGAGTGCTGCATTTATGAAAGCAGTACTGAGGATGGGACTGCTGTCACCAAGAAACAACATCAGAGTGACAAGCCATTTTATGCTTAGCTCTACTAGCCTTAAAATGCTACAGTGTGCCACGATGGCACAATGCAACATACACCTTAAAAATAGACTGGGCCTAGATCAAACTCTGTTTAAAGCCCCAAACTGGTCAGCATCAGAGAAAAGTGTTATAATGATGTTCTCTTTTTATCTGTCTTTAAGCAGATTTATGGTTATGATGATCTCCAGATGCTTCAGTCCAGGCTGCCAATGGTAAGTAAATGGTTTGGATTATTTAATTTTAAACAAGTTCTCCTCAGTGTTGATCATTTGTGCAACACAAATTGGTTCATTTAATGGTGATTAAGAGCTTACACTTCTGTTCTATATTCTGTTTTTTTAAATATCCATTAACAGTTTCTCTAGGTGGTGTAAACTGATAAAGAGCAACTGTTGCATCGTGCATTCATCCATCTGCAAATTCTGTAAATAGAAGCAAGTGTGCTCTGTGTTTTTGAGTGGAGAATTTTTAATTGTTGTAGCAACAGTATGACATCTTGTCAAATCTAGTTGAAATCCGAGCGTGAATGTTTTCTTTTACCAAGAGGTAGGGTTGAACAACAAGTACACAAATTGGCAGACAGTAGGTGCATATGACAGGTTTTGGAGGTGCTCGTAGGTGGAGATCTTTGCGTATGCATCATGGCAACAAATGCAGGTGAGCTGCAGGAGGGACAGCACACAAAATGTTCTTCCTTACCTGGAAGGTGAATGGCATGTGAGAGATGCTGAGATCCCAGACGTATTTACAAAGGCCTCAGCCTAGGTTACAGGAAGGTAAAGAATTTTGTTTTCAGAAAGCTAGGATAAGGATCTTGCAGAGAAAGCTTGGTAGTATGTAACTGAAAAAAGTCACAGGATTAAGTGATGCAGTGTATACACAGAGACAGAAATAGAGTAATAAGCAGTGATCTGGAAAAGAAGTATTAATGAATGAATGCCATAATTAAAGGTCCAAGTCAGTAGCAGGTCTTTCCTGTGTGGTCTGGACAGCCAGAGTCAGATAGTCAAAGGTCAGTACAGGGATGTCCCAGACAAGATCCTGTCCAGCTGCACATTCTGAATGAAAAAGTTGAGTGCATTAATGAAGATTTTAACTACTCAACGGAGGCATGATCCTTGGAAGAATTGTCAATTGAAATGAATGGGGTTATTTTCACAGAAGTAAAATGACAAAATATTTGCAGTTCTGGAGAGACATGGTGTGGTGGGTTGACCCTGGCTGGATGCCAGGTGTCCACCAAAGCTGCTTTATTGCTCCTCTGTCCTCAGCTGGACAGGAGAGAGAAAATACAATGAAAGGCTCATGGGTCTGTTTATGGACAGGGGGAGATCACTCACCAATTACCATCACAGGCAAAACAGACTCAGCTTGGGGAAACTAATATATTACCAATAAAATCAGATTAGGATAATAAGAAATAAAAAGAAATCTTAAAAAAAATCTTAAAACCACCTTCCCTCAATCCCTCCCTTCTTCCCTGGCTTAACTTCACTCCTGATTTCCTGTACCTCCTCCCTGCCAGTGGCGCAGGGGGATGGGGTGGGGTCCTCCCCTGGCTGCAGGTGGGGATCTGCTCCCCCGTGGGCTCCCTGGGCTGCAGGGGCCCAGCCTGCCCCACCATGGGCTGCACCAGGGGCTGTGGGGGAATCTCTGCCCCGGCGCCTGGAGCCCCTCCTGCTGCACCCACCTGGGGGTCTGCAGGGCTGCTCCTCTCACACATTCTCACTCCTCTCTCCACCTGCAGTTACACAGATGGGTTTTTTTCTCTCGTCTTAAATTTGTTATCCCAGAGGTGCTACTCCCATTGCTGATACGCTGGGCCTTGGCCAGCAGTGGGTCCGTCGTGAAGCTGGCTAGAATTGGCTTTAAGAGACAGGGGTAAACCTTCTCGCAGCTTCTCACAGAATCCACTAATGTAGTCCTGCATGCTACCAAAATCTTGCCACACAAACCCAGTACTCATGGTTACACTGCTAGGAGACAAAATGCTTTCTAGGAATGCTATTCAGATTTTATCACCCTGTGCTTCCCATGTGTTCACTCAATTTTTTTGTTCCTTTCTTGGGCAGGGCCTGGAGCAAAGCATGTCTCTTGGTGGGGAGGATTGGTTCTGAGGGGCCAGGAGCTGAGAATTATTTGTAACATTTTAATGCAGTGACAGCAAAAGGAGAGAAAAAAATCAAAATAACAAATACAGTAAAGCACGTGAAGAAAACAATTTCATGAAATAGCCATTCAATACAAGAGTAAAGGCTGCACAAGAGAAAATGTAAGGATTCGTAGCTTGTATGTGTTGCCCTAGAACAGTAGCAGGCCTAAGAGAGAGGTGTTGTGAAAAATGCCTCAAGTGCAAGAGTGGGTGAACTCAGCCTGACGAAAAGAATCTCTTCCCTTCCCGAAGAAGCCGTGCCTCTCCTTGGTAGAGCAATGGATGGGTTTGAGTCGGGGGGGACCTTCAAAGGTGTTCCCTTCCAACGCCCCGTCAAGGTTGAGGGGAGTCTTCAAGTAGCTGAGGTTGCTCCGAGCCCCGTCCAGCCAGAGCTTGGACGTTGCTGGGGACGGGGCGTCTCCCCCCTGTAGTGTGGGCAAGCTGTTGCAGTGTTTGGCCCCCCCCGTGGTAAAAAATGTCTTCGGTGTATGTCGTGTGAATCTGCCCTCT